CTCTATATGCCCACACATTCAGCCTCAGTGTTTAATAACAATTTAACCAAAGCTGTGCTGACGTTGCAGTTTTTTAAAACATTTCTACCTTTGTGACACAGAAAAACATTTTTAATAAGTTATTTTTACTAAGCAATAACTGAGCTGGTCTAAAGCCGTTTCAGCTCTTTGCCCACATGAACTGCTGAGCTCTGTAGACTAAACAGTGCCTGTTGGTTTACAATCACTCTTTCTCTCCCCAGGTCGTCCTGACAGACACAAGCCAGAGCATCGTCACAGGTAGGAGGTTTCACATTTCACTGTCTCTGCTGGCAGTATGTGCAAAAATGACTAAGTGCTTTGAAGAAGGGTGCGTCTAATCTCTCCCACATGTAACAGACAGTTTGCCCTGGAGAGGTGCGTTTGAAGTTGAATCCAGGTAAAAGGTCTGATTGCTTTGATCTGACCCTCTAAAAGGATTTACCTTACAGTACGAATCAGGCGTCTTTGGGTTAAAGGCGCAGCTTTGGAGGATTTTCTTCAGTATCCTTGTAGACTTCCAGGGAATGCTTTTCTCCCCTCTCGTCTGTGGTCCTGACACACTCCTGAAAGTATTTTGGCTGTTGGCCAGTGGGCATGGCAACTAGCTGGGGAAGTCACCGGGTTTAAAGTGTGTGTGTGTGTGTGTGTGTGTGTGTGTGTGGGAACAAAGTGTTGCTTTTGTCGAGCTTATATCACTTAAAAGACGTCGAACAAAGAATCCAAAGTGATTGTGAGAGGATCCAAATGCACAAATATATGGCAGGTTAAGTTTATTACTGAGTACAGAAGTGAGTGGAAAGTCAAAGAATCTCCATTAAGTAACTTTTGAGACTTTATTTTGTGTATTGACCGACTGATGTTTGGCCAAGTCTCCTCACCTGAAGTGGAACATTTTTTTAAAAACTGATTCTGGTTTTCAAACTTTCATTGAATAAAAACTTAAAACCAAAGAAGTGCCAAAAACAGTAGTTTCTCTAAATGTCACCTTAGACACAGGTTATGGGATGAGCATGGGACAAGTAGTGACTTGTTATTGTCACTACATGTAGCCTCGAGCTTTATTGTCCTACTGGACACTAATAGGGCCATAATTTACAAAATAAACATTATATTAATATCAGTGCAAGTTGGAAGTAGTGATTGAGGCCATAAAATCACCAGGAAAGACCATCTGTCGTGCCGAGGACTTATATTATTACAGAGGCGCAAGCTTTATGGGTTAAAGTAAAACCTCATAATCGTCACCTTTCCTTTGGACGACCATCTACGAATTAGCTGTTGTCCAAAGGTATCTGCCATTTTCTTTATTGCACAGTTTGTCTCTGTGCCAGCAGGCTTTTAAATCCACATAGGAATCTGGGCCCTTAGGAGCCATTAAAACACCTGTTTTGACAACAAGTGGTTCACTTGTCTTACTGCATTTAAATCTTTTTTGAACTGCTGAGCAATCAGTTGCACACAGCCCACAATGATGTAATGGGGAAAAAAGAAAACCAGTGAAAACGTTTTTGAAACATAGAAAAGCTACATTAGCACAGAGGTTCATTGTTCCTGCCGACTCTGACCTGAAAACTACAAATCATACCTCCTCCCAGTCAAACTGACACCTCTGACGGTGTAAACAAGGTTTGAGGCGTATTTCACTGACATTTAATAAGTGCATCGTGTTTTCTTTAACCTTTCTCTGCAGTAAACAAGGAGAAGTGGAAAGAGGAGGATAGAAGGAACATTTTTTCCACTAGTTTAAAGTAAAGCAGTGTGTTTGGGCAGTGTCAGGGGTGAGTCATGTGTGTCTGCTCATAGTTAGCAGCTCCGTGGCAGAAAGAGAGAGGGTGAGCAGCAGAGAGAGTCAAAAGACAGGCTGATCTATAACACAAAGAGAGAAAGAACCGTCCTCGCGTCCTGTTATCGTCTTGGTGAGTCTGGCTAGATAACCTTCCTAGATTAGGAACTGCTTTTCCATTTAAAAAGGAAGAGCTTTGGCTCACCTTTTCTGAAATATCTGCTGTGATAGATGTGATTGCTGACAGTTTGGAAAAATAGTCCATCTATTTGATAAACACGCTCTCAGTTTGGGAATACCAAGGAATTCTCCCAATTTATTTATTTTGTTTGTACTGGAATTTTAGCTAAATGTGTTTTCAGCAAAGTCTTTGCTCTACAGCTCATCTGACCAATGTGACCTCAAAGTGGGCGAGTCCAGTAAGTGTGCTGTATTGAAATGTATTAATCACAGTGATAATTTTCAAACATTCTCCCTACTGTGTAATAATGCCAGTATCCACACAGCAGGAATAACTGTATATTTTATTTTTTTAACTTTTTTGGAGTTATTAGTGATTTTGCTGCAGGTTTTTGGCCATCCAGTGGTGCAGACTGGGTCCTTGGCTCTAGAAGATTGTAAAGGTGAAAAAACACATTTAACTGACAAATAAGATTCATTTAAGGGAGCTGCCATGAAAGTGACTGATTCTGCACCCTTTAGCTGAGGAATGAGTCACATGAGTTCTGCTTTGAATCATAAAATTATGCAGTATTATGTAAGAGTAAGCATACAGATCGGAGTTTCCGACTCTAACCCCCCTAGCTGCACCGTTGGAGTATATCATATATGGCTTTTTAAAGTATAGACAGCAAAGTCTCAGGAATCAGGTGACTGAAAACTAAAGTCACACTAAAAACAGATCCTTTTTTTTATTCTTTAATATCTTTAAGATCTTGTGAATTCAGCCCTAATGGTCAACGTTAGGACGACCCCACCGGTCACAGAAGATGGCCCCACCCCTCCCTGAACCTGGTTATGCTGGAAGTTTCTTCCTGTTAAAAGGGAGTTTCTTCTTCCCACTGTCACTAAAGTGCTCGCTCCTCCGGGTTTTTGCCCTCTACTGGCCAAGTCAACGGGAATCCTGAATTTGTAGTGATCTTCAGTGTAAGCATAGAAAAAGTGCTTGTGTGAATGGGTGATAATAGGTGAATGGGGCTCGCACTTTGAATGCTCTCGGATAGTTGAAGTGCTTTATGTAAGAATCATTGCATTTATTTACATGACGCTGTTTTCAGAAGTGTTACCATATTTGAATGAGGCACTGAAGCAAATAAAATAAGCCATGGAGGAAGTATCAGAGAATTTTGTCCTTTTGTTTCATCGTCCAGTGTTTGAGAAAACAGATGCAGCATTTACACTTGAGACACGCATAAACGTCCACGTGCAGTAACACAGGCCCTTTAATCACAGCACAGACTGTTATTGTAACAGAGCTGAGTGATGTAAGCTACAAAGAGGTGCTTTTTAACTACAGGAACTTTTTTTAGTTTTGGTATCTATTGGAGGTCATACTTCTCTTTTCGGTCTCCATCTAGAGGGACTGGAGACCATCATTCTTCTTAAAACTCACTTTTTATAGTCTTTTATTCATCCTACCATAAATTAAGCACTTTCCTTGGGCAAAATGAACGTCGGGTGACGTAAATATTTTGTGATTGTTCAAATTAATTAATGCTGCACCAGTAAAACATTAATGTAAACAAACAATACTTTTAAATGTCAGTCTTGGAAATGAAACAAAAGTAGGACGAACCAACTATAAGTGAAATCCAGGTTTTACCACGTATTTATTTGATAGAGGAAGTACATCATAAAAGTCATGAGAAGTATAAAAGTCAAGCATCCTACACAAAGTATGTAGAAAAAGTGACATCAGAGGTGATAGTAGTAGGTTGAACAAGTCGGGGGGGAAAAAGAAAATGACATTGGAATAGAAATTTGAGATATTACCTGAACCATGTTTTGTTTTTGTTGGTTTGTTTGTTTTTTTTAGTTTGTTAGTTAGTTAGTTGTGTTTTGTTTTAAATTATTATTAAACTGTTACGTCTCTCTGTGTCCCAGAACTGTTGGGACTTAAAATGTCTACAGATGTGTTTGATTTAGATGTAAAAAAAAAACAAGCTTGTAGTCATAAATCCTGCATTTCCAGAAGACCAAATCTGTGACTCTTCTTGACTTGTTGATGAGGTCAAATGAGGAAATGTTCTTACATGGTGGGAGGCAAAGGTTTGAGACCTCTTTCCTGCACAAACCACAGATTCATTGTTTGTAATTAGAGAACTGTACCCATCATTTAGATCTTTTGCCTGTATTGTGGCGATTCCCAGGGGCAAGGCAGCGGATGCTGAGCTCATGTGTGGAGTTCAAGTAGCGTGGACTGACTGGGACGACCGAGCTATGTTTGTCACTGGGAAAACAGGGGGAGAGAGAGAGGAGGTGAGGTAGCTGAGGTGAAATGAAATGACTCATTGTTTCCTGTTTGTCCTCTCTGTGCAGCCAGGGTCCTTTGTCATCTATCAGAGCCGTCATCAAGAGAAGTGAGTATTCACTCTCACAAATGAACATAGAACCAAGAAAGAATGAAACAAAATGTGCACAGTGTTTGGAGTGAAGTTGATACTTCCTGTACCTTGGATTTACGGTTCCTAAAAGTGCCAACTTTCCATCCGCTAATTTTTTTGAGGGCTTTAACTCTAAAAATAAATCATAGTTTTAAGGACAGGGTTGTTTTTCTTGTTTGTTATTGCGCAAAAAAATAAAAATCAGTTGATTCTGACGGGGTCGGGTTGGAGTCATCCACTTTTTTTTTTTTCTTTTAGCAGTGATGGAAAACATCTTCTTGGTTCGTGTGACTATTTTGATTGTGTCCACACTGTTATCTTCTCTGTAGTGGGGATTTTTCTGCTTTGCTTTGCTTGCCTTTCTTTTTCTAAATGGCTTCTGTTTTCCTATCAGCCTCTTCCAGGTCGACCACTCTGTCTGAGGCTCCCAGAGACAGAGAGCGGGACCGGGAGAGAGACCGAGAGCGGGAAAGAGACAGAGACAGGAGGTACGAGTCTGCCGTGCCATCATCATCACTGGTTCATATTTAACATGCAAATGTTTCATGAAGTGAAACGGGGAAAAGAAAAGTAAAATCCAGCTGTGAATTCTGTTGTTATGGTCACTACATTTAGTCAGGATAATATGTTAACACTTTAGCCAACAAACAAGCTTTAATCTTCACTTTTAGAGTAAATGAACTTTATGTAAGGTGTGTGTATGTGAGGGGAAGCTCATCACTGAGCTCCTTCCTGCGTCACGTTTAAACACTTGGACGATTCCTGGATCTGAGCCCATGTAAACATTTGAAAATAGTTGTGTACTCTTTGAGCTGCGTGTGTTTGCCCGTTCCTTCTTTAACAAGGTACTTTAAAACCATTTACTATGAATTCTGAGATTCATCTGGGTTTTTAATTAATGAAACAAAATTATATTTATGTCTCAAAAGGCTCATTTAAAAGCTAAAATTA